GTTGTGTTAGCAGGTAAATGCGGTTCAGTCCGATTGGAAGTTGCCTATAGGCTGGCCCCCCATGCGCGTCGCCCAAGCTACATTGCCCGTGGCAGGGTCCCGTTGAGGTCGTAGACGTTCGATGACCCCAGTGTGTTCGCATTCAAGTTGGGTGACGTCGTTGGTTCGTACACCCATCACGCCTCAAAAGATTTGTACCACCAACGTCTCGATGCGTCATCCCCCATCCCAAAACGGCCTGTGTTGGATGCGTCTGACGAGCTGGTCACCACCGCCCTAGGGGGATGCGCGTTGGGAGTATTGTCCTCTTTCGCCCACAGGATCACGACGACTGACGCCCCAGGACAAGCCAACTGGGCCACCGCCTGAGTCCGGGTCGCGGGACCTGCCGTGAGCACGTCGCTCGTCATTAAAAGGACACGTTTGCAGGGACGGTCTGGCCGCGGGAACCCGCTCCCGGAGGGTTACGTTCAACCCCAGGGTTATGAAAGTTATGTTCCCACGTGACCCGCGTCGGCACGCCGTTCGTCATGGAAGGGACATCGCTCCTCGTCCAGTTCTGGCCCTTCTCCTCCTCCGGCCGTGCTGGACCCGGTTCACGGGGACGGGCCGGCCACAGGAATCCGCTCCCGGAGAGTTATGTTCCGCTGAGAAATATGGGATCGACGGCACCACGGACCGCTGCGCCGTTCTATCCTCGGCGGAATAGACTGCACTCTTACACTCGCACAGATTGTTATTATTGTTGTACTGTTGTTTTTAGTTTTTTTCTCATGGTTCTTGTTGTTACCTGTGTCACAGGTTCATGCGTTACTTATGTTGTATATGCAGTCAACCAAGACGGCTGGGTTTTTCATCACGGGGGGGTGGGGGGGGGGGGTAATGTAGTAGCGTAACGCGCGAGGTTAGCAAAACGGTGAGGTGAGGTGACACTGGAGTGGCGTGGCAGCAATTAGGGGGTGAAGCATGGATGTAGGGAGTGCAACTGAGGTCGTGCAGGTGCAAGCGTGGAGACACGAATTAGGCGCCGGAGAGGCGGCAGCAATTAGGGGGAGAAGCATTGATTGAGCGGGTGCATTTGGGGACGAGCAGGTGTGCGCGTTGGGGCACGGGGTAGACGCCGGAGAGGCGGGAGATGGAGGCGATAAGAGAGAGCGTGTGCCGGAGGCGCCGTAGAGGCGCCAGCTTAATGGGGGCTAAGTTGAGGACCCCAAATGAGGAGGGATATATAAGGGAGCGTGCGGAGCAACACGGGGAGTTGGTTGGTTGGTGCTCAGGTGATGAAGAACACAAGAGTCCGGGAGAAGATGCCTGGGACCTCGCCCTCCTCACCTCGTCCTCCCCAGCAGTGTTGGCTCATTCCCTGCTGGGGGCAGGGACGAGGGCGGAGGTGTGAGGGAAGCAGGACAGGATAGCAGAGTATAGAGTGAGAGAGAGAGAGTGGGGGAGACAGAGTGGCTACCGCGCACGAGGTGTGTGGAGGTGAGTAGGGGGAATTCGGGGAGTTTGGAACAAGGGTGCATGGTAGTGTAAGTGAGGAGCATCCACACTGGAAGCAAGGTAAATAAAGTGACACGGGAGAAAAGTTAAGTGTCCGTGTGAGTACAACGCTACACTAGTATCGCACACCGGTGTGTTGGAGAGCAAAGCAACAACATTTACAATCTGATTTCGACGTTTTGCCAGTAATTACAACTGGCTCCATCAGGCGACAGCCAGATCTGTGGAGAAATCCTTAAGCTTCGTTCCTTAAATAGAGGGGAAGATGTGATGACATCACTTGTGTGCTCTTCTTGCGCAAAGTGGGGGGGGGAGGGTGGGTTCGTGAATGAATATAAATGGCTGTGTGTGCTCTTGATTTGAAGCTTTCGTGACTGCAGGAGTCCATACTCTTTGGTTCTTTCGGTAAAGTCACGTAGGTAGAAATAAAATAAAATAAAAATAAATCACGACGTTTCGATCGCAACACAGGCGACCGTCATCAGGCGGAACCGAATAAACAATGAAATGTTTTCATGCTAGGGTTAGAATAAATGAAATGACCCTAAGTGTCCCGCGTTCTGGGCCACCCTGTACACGTGTGTGGAGCGGTAGTGAATTTCCCATTACCACTGTCGACTACGTACGGTCAAAAAAGATGTTCAATATATATACGTAGTATTGGTTCTTTTGGTAAAGTCACGTAGGTATAAAATAAATTACATCACGACGTTTCGAACGCAACACAAGCCCCCGTCTTCAGGTGAAAATCGCGACAGCTGCGATGTCTGCTCCCTTGTGAAGAGAAGCTGTTACCAGCAAGAGTTTATATAAGTTTTGAGAACAAAGGCAGCCGAAGTAGTGTTAATGGGGTATATTTATTACCCTTACACTATAATACCGCAGCTGTTGCGATTTTTCACCTGAAGACGGGCGCTTGTGTTTAGTTCGAAACGTCGTTATTTATTTTATTTCTACCCACGTGACTTTACCGAGAGAACCAAAGAGTATGTGTGCTCTTCTTTTATATGTGTACACGATCTAACCCCAAAAACCTGTATTATGGATTGTTGCTATTGTTTTGTTTTGAATACACATTGATGTATGTGTAGTGGGTAAATAACTAGAGGAGAGTTCTCTGAGGCAACACTTTTTATTTGACAATAACTGCGTAACACAAAGGGGTAACGGCCCCTTACACCCGATATGCTAGGGAGGTAGCCCCTCCGGACTAATACGCCTCTTACTGGCTAACGTACACCACTCACGAATGAAGCTTGCGTCTTCACTGGTATAAGCTTAAGCCGACCCTGGCCAGGGGTACGGCTCTGCCCTTTGGGCTCTTCTCTTCAGGAGGCTTCTTCAATCTTCAGGCGAGCGACGACTTGCCGGGACCGTTCAGAGGTCCGACTTTTATACAGCGCCGTGGCTTACTCCACCCCGGCCACACCTTCCTTCTCGAACCTTCCAGCAGGACCTGGGGGTGATGTCATTACCCCAGCACCCCTCCTGGGATCTGCACCTCTGGTCATGCCGTTCCATAGGGGTTACCGTTGGGCCCTGTGGGCCATAGTCCATTAACACTGGGGCTCAGGCCCTCATCTTCCCCATATTGGCACGTGTCCGATACCACCGGCTAACAGTACGGGAGACACACAATAATATCTCTACATCTGTAATGTTCCAATAATAGCGACGGCATCACTGCGTGGCTTTAGTAGGTTTTGCAATGCTGAAGGAAAAACAACTGATAGATTTAACATAGCTTAACACCTTTTCACAGAAGAATCTCGTCAGAAGGTCTCTGGGTATATATGATGTTTATGTGTTGCCGCTTGTGCATCGTTGTGATATGCAATTTGTACGTATGTTTAACTTCTTTCACACCTTATGTAGCCAACCGTGCTCATCAGAGTTGCGTGAATGACAAAATCGTAGTTTTCCCCTCTACTGGTACTGTGAGTTATTCTTATCCCCATGATATGTCCTAGTCAATTTTACCTTGGTGGTAGCAACCCCAGATGAGAAATCAGTCGTCCTGCCAATCAAATGCAATACAATATCGAGTCCGTTTGATATTCGTGCCTTTCTGCTAGCACAGGCCATTAATAAAGTTTTGTTTACAGACGCTGCAGTTTCGACGTTGCTATGTGGAGTTACCCAATCAGGCAATTCGACTGTGACCCCAGTAGGGTGACCCCAGGTTTTCGTAGCCACCTCACTTCTCAACGGAGTTGAGGCTTTTCAAAAGATATATGTGGACCACCAAACCAAACCCTGCCAAAAAGGCATTGGATCACAGAAGCGTGCGCGACCACATGCAACCCTCACCAATGTGATGCATATCTGAGATGACCGATGTGCAAGTGTGGGCAACTGTGGATGAACACAGGTAGAATTGCGTTAGGACATGCGACAGGTCGTTACCAGGAAGACAAGGTACATACGCACGTGACACAGATGGAATGCTCGCTGATGGGAGGGCACAGGACAGACGTAGGTGCTGTGGGTGGGGTGGTGAAGATTTGCTCATGAGTAGCTATGTAATTGACAAATAGGTGTACAATGAAGCACTAGTTCATCGTTCAATATTCGTCATTAATCTCACAATGTACATCAAATCCCAAAAATCTAATCTTTTTTTTATATCCAGATTGTATTTACAGTGATAGGTTCCGAAACTCCTGCAGCAACTAGAAACCAAATTGACTTCAATAAAAAAAATTATTGAATAGAATTGGAACCCCGAATTGTGGTAAATCATAAGATTGCCAGGATGGAAAATTGTGGGGAACAGTTCCCCACCACCACCTATTTTGTCTGAAAAACATTAATCAATGACACTTCCTTAAATATATAGCGCATGCTGTAGAGAACTCCCATTTCCTGAAATGTGGTCGAGTTATTTTTTTAATCGTGCTTGTGTACCACTGCCAACGCAGCAGCTTCGCCAAATGTCTTTGGCTATTCGCCAGTGATTGCATAAACTGTGCCCCCTAGTGTACGCAAACACTGAAATGCCAGTCCAATTTGTTTTTCAGAACTGTTTCAAAATCATCCCTCATTTACGGCAAAATATACGGAAATTCGCTATATGAGCAACTTTTCAGGAACTATATTTTCCGTATACGGAGTGGAAAGTAGGATTCGACATCCATAATTTCTTGAGGAATATTCATTCATGTATCTGTTGCGTATAAATAGGGTGCTTAAAAAAGGTTTTAACACTTATATGGGACTGTCGTTTCGAATGAGAAACGGATACACTGTAACAATAATAAATTAATGTTAATAGCTTCAAAAAGTCAGTCTCCACTTGTTCGCCATCATTGTCAACACGTGGCCTGGAATCTTCTCCAGGTGCTCTCCAGAGCCCGGAGGCAGCAGCACATTTCTTGTGGTATTGTTGCAAATTCTCATTAGTGTAAAAAAAAAATGTAAGCACCTTATATTGACGGATGTCCATTCATCCATTGCAAAAGTGACAGATATGACCAAATGGACAAGACCAAATCTACTCGGGCGATGTCATTTTTTTTAATTAAAAGCAATACTGCAACGGAAGTCACTGTAGGAAACAGGAGTTGCCAAACTCAGGAGGAAATAAAATCTTAGGAGTTAAAGTTGTGAAACATCTCATATCCTCGATGTTCATATCCACAATTCAGTGTCCTACACAGCTCCGATAAGGTGTCCTGCTGTAATTGGTTAGCATTCAGAAATTCAGAGGTATAACTCTCTCGTGCTGGTGACATCAATTTGCTTTTGCTTGCTTAATGTACATTGTGTAGGTTTGTGAAAACTTAAAAAAGGCAAGATTAGGGATCATAAATAGTTCTTTATTAAACAGATGTTTTCCTGCAGTAAAAAACGAATCAAATCTGTGAAATACCCAAGCGACTGTGGTATTACCAAGCCAATCATGAAGTGTAAATTATGCGACATCAAATATCTTGTGTATGACCAGGGTGATCACCATATATTTACAGCTGGATCAGATGCACAAGCTTTCGATTGCGTACAATTCTGGTAATTATCCATGTTCATAAAATGCCCATGGTGTTCAATGCAACCTCTCTAAACCCTACCTTCCCATCACATGTTTGATACCGTATCAGACGTTATGGTCAGGTAGCCAATGAAAATCTCATCTTAGGGCAATCAGCCTCAACTCAAAATAAACTGAGCTGATAAAAATCCAGGCATGCACCCTTCACTGGTTTCTGATTTGCCTCTCAATAGAGGGCAGCATTGCCAAATGGACAAAAAAAATCCACAATCCCTTGAAAACATTATTTGCCACATGATGTAAATTTGATCCATCATTAAGGTCTATCTCCAACACTCACTTTTGGAATTGTTATAATGGCAGTGGTGGTGCAGTGATTCGTACACTGTGGTGTAGTGTGACCCTTTCGAGTTAGAGGAAACTGACTGCAACCCTGGTTGTCATATTTTTTCTTTGACCCAGGTAAAATACTTTTGGGAGCCCATAGGGTGGGGGGGGGGGGGGCATGTACATGTGCCCATGTTGTACATGCATACTAGACCACAATATAAATTATTATCATGATGTACAGGAGTCTTAGCAAGGTGAAATCTTTTTCCCCGAGCATTAAGTCTCCGCTAGCGATAAAGGTCACGACGAGCGGTGTGGGTGATGGTTCCTTTAGCTCATTTAAAAGAGATGAAACTATTTTGGTGTGAATTATTTGGAATATCTCTTCAGAATAGATATACACAACCAGTGAGCTCTCTAAGCTGGTTCAATGAATGTCACAGTATTCAGTTGTTGGTGCACGTGTTGTTTTGTGGTTAAGATGTTGTGGGTTCAGAAGGCTGGTCTGATGCTCCCACAGGGGTCGCTTCTGCCTCTGTTTCAAGCTGAAAAGCAAACACACAAACGATTAACACCAGCGACGTCGATTGATGAATACATCTCAAGCAACTGAATGACAGTACTTGAAGGTCAGTGTTGCTACCTGTCCAGAGACATAACGACAGAACACAAACCAGGACACTGTTTACAGTAAACTCTGACATAACACCAGGCACCAACACAAACCAGGACATAACCAGCAAGCCCTGACACAAGCCACGAACATTTTTTTCACCCAACTAATGACCAGACCCAGGTAACTCTTGCAAATTAGACTATCCTGGTCTCTTGGGTTTTCACCTGGTTAAACAAAATAAACTTTAAACTAACCCAATATGCAGCTTTGAAAATAATTCTTAGTACAAACCTCATGCTGACCTGAGATACAAACCAGAAAACAGACCAGGACACTGGCAGAACATAATCCCAGGGTACAACACTGACCTTAATTCAGCAAACAATGAAAGAATACGTGATGCATCCAAGGGCGTATGCCTAAGGTTTTTAAGGCAAGATCAAGAGGCCATCATAATGAATGCTGCCGATGCCACCACACCTCACAATCACCACTTTCGTTCTGCCAAATCGCTCAGCTTCTGCAAAATGTATACCCTGCCCACAAGGGCCTTTCTAAAAATATCGTACCATTTGGCTTTAGAGCCTTCCCTTGGTCACCAGCATCTAGGAAACCACTCCAATGCTGTCTCGGTAAATTCCCTTCCTCCATCCTGTACATGTGCTCCACCCATGACCGCAACCTGTTCTTCATAATTGCATCTTCAATGCTTTGTGTTTCCATGTTCTATTATGAACAGATACATTGTTGCCTATTCAATGACTAAAACCCTCAGCATAAACCAAAAATAGTCATTGATCAACCTTGGACAAAGGCTATATGCAAGTTCAAAACATAACCAAAAATAAAGGTGTTGGAGTAATGTGTGTCTATAACCCTGAGTATGTTGCGTACTTTGAGACCATGGGTTTTGATCACTGTGTTACGAGTTCTTGGGTTCTAATTGCTTTTTGTGTTTTGAGTTGACGACTTTGGTGTTCCTGTGTTATGGTATTTAATGTTGGTTCTGGGGGATGTGTGTTGTAGGTTCCAGATTCAACATGTGGAATACCTTGCCGCCTTTTCGCCGCAGTACAATGCCATCTGCCAACAATGCTTTCCCAGTTTCCTCAAATAGATTCTCTTCAAGGTGATCCCCAGATGCCTGAAGATCCTCATAGCGCTGCACAAACCTACACCAAATCATCACGATCACCGCACATCAACAACCACACTTCTCCACGAACGAGGGCATAGACTTGTGATGCACCCATACAACCACACCAGAACCATATTTGAACAGCCACGAATTGCCACAATGATCAACCATTTGTCAATCCACTGCTGGATGAAGGCCTCCCAACATCGCGTCAGCAGTGGAGGTGATTTGACCACACTTCAAACAGCCATAGAAAATATACATTGGCAATATGTCACCACAAGCACAATACAATTTAACATCAACATACACCTTACTGATACACTGCCCACTTCAGCTGCAACATATGATGCTGATATCGATGCAGTGCTACAACAAAGCATGAACGTTAACTTTACTTTTAAGTATTACCAAATTTCATGGCAATAAAATAGAATATTACCTCAATACGTTGCATATCGCCAACACAAACATCCATACCCCAACAGTCATATCATGCACACCAATCCCTTAATATGCATCATACAAAAATAATGCACACCAAACTACTATGTAACAATGCAAAGCCAACACACAATGCTGCAACAATTCTGCAATGCAATCACACAAGCACATGACAATCAGTAATCTTCCAATATTAAGAGGCCACTGGAGCTAGGCAATTTTGAATCTAGATTGAAAACTCTTTCCTTTAGAACTGCTTTTTGCAGTTGGCTACGTACGTGCGAAAAAAGTTCAACATATATACATACATACGTATCATCTGTGGTCACATGAATAGCACACCTCACCTCTGTGAGAGCGACACAAAGTTGGGTCTGGTGAGGTCGTACCGGCCCGCAGTGTACGTCTGGAAAAATCGCCTGCATACGTAAACACGTAACATAAACATGCACGCACATGGGTCAATACATGCACAACACTACGTGCAAGAAAAATGTGACATCCAGACCAGCACATATGAACACACGATCACACATTCACATGTGGACTCTCACATACAGGCGTATGACTGTACAACAGTCTATGATGGAGTTTCCAGACAAAAGACTAACAAATCAGTCTCCAATGGGGGTGTTCAGCAATAGATTGCCAAGCCAGTTCCACGACAGGAACCATCGACAACACCGCACACCAGTCTCCGCTGAGATCTCTATACAAAGAACACCGATGAGGTGGCCTCTCGTGACGTCCTTGGGCAAAAGTCTGGCAGTCACAATCTTTATTTAGGCTGGAGGCATCCGATGAGCTACGAAGCTCATAGCTCTATAATCTTTTTTCACGGATGCATTTAAGCAACAGACTTGACAAGATCATTGTGCAAAGGCGCCTCTAGGAGATCCGACTAATCAAATGGAATCTCTATATTCGTCCCAGAGGGGCGAGGGCACGACAGGCGGGCGGACGGGCGGACGTACGCGCGAACGGTGTCCTCGGCGTAAACGATGGGGCGCACGGGGTCCGGCTCGGGGCGCAGCTGTTCACGGTGCGCGACTTTGCGCTGCGAGCGCGTGGGCAGCAGTGGCGTCCACGTGCCCTGGTACTTGGGCTCGCGCTTCGGCGGGAAGGCAGCGTAGATGTCGTACCACAGTGGCCGGTCCGCCTCCTTGACCACCTGGGCACGCATTAGGTCGCGCACCCTGCGATGCACACAGAAAGACTTTTTTTGTGTTTTGTTTTAACTTTGCCAAGGAAGGCGTGTAGCTCTTCATCAGAAGCGACCTGGCCACAAACGGTAGCTCAAGTGGCTTATCACGTGGGCATTTATTGCGGGCCAAACACTCTATAGACGCACGTTTCTAAATGTGGAGGAAATAACGGGAGGACCCGGAGAAAGATCCACACGACCACGGGGAGAACATGCAAAACTTCAAATATACGGGGCGTCAGGGTCGGGATGGAACCCACAAACTCCTGCATACCAGGCGAGGTGGTTAACATCTCGCCAACGCGGCACCTCAATGTATTGCTCTGTTTCATTACTTACGTACGTTCAAAAAACCGGCAATAATTTAACATAGGAAACCAATTTAATCTATCCTCCGTTATCGACAATACATTAACTTAATTCATGTCCTTACACACATACACAACAACCGCCGTTCATCACGGAGCTTATACCATGCTAGGTGCGTACTTCTCTGGCTCTTCCGGCAAAGTCACGTAGGTATACCTATGGATTCATGCAGTCACGAAAGCTTCAAATCTAGAATGCTAGGTGCACTTTGAGGCCACGTGAAATGTCGAAGGCTCCCTGGAAGGTCACGGAACAGACCTCGCTGCCATGGGTTGACTGAGATGACCCGACCTGTGTTTCCTACTGTGACAAACTGCTGTGCTTTAGCCACCCGGCGCTCCGCTCGTTGTTGTGAGCGTCGCTCCTCCGCCCTCCGTTGTTGTTAAAGGGCGACTACCTCCAACTGCCCAGTAGCGTCCTTCACGAGCCTCCTCCACAGAGGCCGATCTCGACACCGCCGGTACCGGTCGTCGGCAAGTCCCATCAGCTCCACGTCCTCCTGTACCACATCACTCCATCTCTTCTCTAGTTAGTCCCGAGCCCATTTAGCCCCCCCCCCCTCTCTATCCAGCCAAACAGAAGCTGCTTGGGCATGCGGGCTGCATGACCTATCTCAATGATCCGTGAGCTCCTCACACAAATCCAGTCTATTTAAAGCCTCGCCTGAACGTTTCAAACCGGCGCAGAATATTCCTTTGGATGATTCCACGTTTGCCAAGCGTAGGTACGGGGACCAGGGCATAACTTTGTCCCGAGAAAGAGGAAGCTTCCGTGTGCTTCGCCGGACCACAGGCGGGCGGGCGGGCGGGCAGCCAACCTCCGAACGAATTCGAAAGGCTGGCCACATTCACAACGCTGCGCGCGCGTGAATTTCCCGACAAATCGGGCACAAGTGCGAGGTTCGCGAGAGAGGCGTCTTCATCTCTCCGGCGCGCCTATCGCAATCGCGAGGAGAACCGTTCTTGCTTTCGAGCGGCGAACGACGCCCGCCGAGCGAGGACGCGCTCACCGCTGCGCCACCGCTCCCACGTGTTTGGGGAGGAGGGGAGAGGAGGAGGGGGGGGTCACGTGACCCGGTGACCCTGAACGCCGCGGCCTAAGGCAGGAGGAGGCGGCGGCGGCGGCAGTGGTCGGTCGCGCTCACAGAACCCGCGACGAGCGGTGGCGGCGGCAGCAGCAGCAGCAGCCGCGGCGGCTAAGAGCGGCGCGACCACGACGACGGCGGCGCCGCGGGAGCGCGACAACCGCGAGCAGAGGAGGAGGAGAGGAGGAGGAGAGGTGGGGGCGCACCGCGAGAAGATGGTGCCGTGACGCTCGATGCGAGTCAGCCCCGCCATGATGTAGTGAGGATGGTGGCAGTTGAGGGGGGGTGGGTGATGTCACCCCCTAGCCCCCCACCGTTGACGTGACGTCATCCATCGAGTTAATGTTACCGGTGTAGTGACGTCATGTCGTTATTTGGGACCGTACAGTAATGGTTTAAAACGTAAGCTTTCGCGATCAATATCCGTAATAAAGGTGTTCTTTTTTTTTGGGGTGGAGGGGGAGGGGAGAGGCGCAGTTGGTGGAGGTTAGATCGCGTAAATATAAATGTGTCGTTAACCCGCCACCACCCGACACAGCCAATGAGTAAGGTTTGTGAGGTAAACATTACGTGCCAATTCGTTACGACTTCAGCACACCGGCGTGTTGGAGAGTAAAACGCACAACATTTACAATTTGAGAGTACCGTGATGTTTTGGTTGGTGATTACAACAACCAGCTTCATCAAAAAAGCGATTTTGCCCGATGATGCTGGTTGTAATACTTTGACATTTATTGTTTGGAGTGTTTTTTTTAATAATTATTTTTTGATTTACTGAAGGGTGTATTTGTTACATATTAGCGCCTACTAGGAAACAATACGCACATATATATAAAACTTAATCCGGATGTGATTCTTATCAGGCCTCATGGTGTTAAACTGTGCGGTCTGCAGCTATTATTCGCTGTGGCAATGCGCGCTATAAAGATGGGCTATTGCCCGAAACGTCGCCTATATTATATTTACGTTCCGTTTTAAGGCTCGCGTTATGAACGAACGTGTTGTGTTGTTTTGTAATTTGTGATTTGTTGCACCACTGCCAAACGCACGATCACCAGACGTGTCGTTGGTAATTTCGCGCCTCCGATTACCACGGTTTTTGCTACGTACGGTGCGAAAGAAGTTCCACATACAGTGCCCTGCAATATGTTCATGTAACGGGTGAAAAGCACCGGTCAAGCAGCTTGCTGTTGTTCGTGTGGTGGTGGTTGTTGTTGTTGTCGATGGTTGAGATATATAGAAATATAGCAACGCAGCTGGGTGGCACTTTGTATGTATCTATTTAAAACTTATTTCGCACCGTAAGTAGCCAACAGCGCGAATCTTAATCGATCTTAATCGGCTCAAGGCTCCCACAAATGACGGCGACGAGACGTTAACTACCTTTGCCCGCAATGCGGGAAGGGTGTGGGTTCGATCCCGACTCTGAGGCCTTTATATTATGATTTTGCGGTGCCTCTCTCACGTCGATTTTTTTTCTCCAAGTCCTCCGGTTTTTTCCCCTCCACATTTAGAATCAGCATCACGCGTTTAGAGTTGATTTGAAGCTTTCGTGACTGCAGGAATCCCACACTCTACGTGACTTTACCGAAAAAAACAATCACTTCGTTGAGCGATCATTTGTGGCCAGGTCGCTTCTGAAAAAATAGATACAGTATATAGCTCAGTGGACTTTACCTGGTCAAGTAAAAAATATAATTTAGTTTACAATACCGAGCCTTGTGTGTGGGCCATCCACATTCTGAATCACTCCCTTCTCATCTATACAGGACAGAATATCTACATTTCTATATGTGATTCAGCTCAAGACGCCCATAAACCCCGATGCCTCTGTGGCCATCCCCACTGTGAAAACAGGTGCCGTTCCGTGCACCAGCGTCGAGGTTTTTATGTCGCCTTTTCCTAATCTTTGGTCACGTTTTTCCATTCCCCTTTCCATCCTATTCCCATTCTTTGTCTTCTCTCTTTAATTTCCAGTTCCTGGTTAATTTTCCATACATATCGTTGACTCTGCTGGTGCCTTTACCGTGCGTACCACGGATACAAGATTGCTAGTTCAACCCAATAATAGTCACGTTGCTGCTGTGATTGAGACGTTCTAGTCGTGCGATTGTAGTCGAGTTGTCGCGGCTGTGTTGCTCAATATATTCTTTAGTCGTTCTTGAAAAATGCTCAATGTTTGCATGTAATCGTGACCCTGAATCACGAAAACGATCCTGTAGTTTAAAAAATCTACTGCTGGATGAAGGCCTCCCCATCCCTCGCACTGAAACGATTCACATAGCACCTGCACACAAGCCTTTCATTACTCCATCTCTGCGATTGACGTAGTTTTGGGCACGGTCCCTCCTTTGCCACTAAGTAGTTATTTTCACCCACTGGCCATTTATCCCTTCTGGCAGCAACATGTTACGCCCAAGCCCACATATTTTACTTAAGTCAAGATTAAGTCTTTAACCTGCGTGTTCTTGAATTCACGTGTTCCTCTTTCTACAATCCCAAGAATGCACAGCTCCATGCTTGGCACACTTTTGAGCTTTTGCTCCACATTATTCGTCAGTGTTCATGTTTACGATCCATGCCATATCAGGCAGTATGCCTTGCTTAAAACAAGTAATTCAGATACAGTAAAACCTTGGATTGCGAGCATAATTCGTTCCGGAAACGTGTTTGTAATCCAAAGCACTCGTATATCAGTTGTGATCACGTGACGCTCGGCAGTACAAAGCGTCTATACGTACTACTACTCGTATTGCAAGACCTCGCTCGTTTATCAAATTAATATTCATGTTAAAATTTTGCTCGTCTTGCAAAACACTCGCAGACCAAGTTACTCGCAATCCAAGGTTTTACTGTATTAGTATGTTCCTAAATATCAAGTTTAGCTTTTCAAATTCACTCCAATCTGCTGTCGTTCACCTCTTAATTTGATCCCAATCCACTTTCGGTATTTGCTCTAGGTACTCATTTGTTGTTATCCAGTTGTGCCAAATGTTTAGCAAACTTGTACATGTTATTTAAGAATATAACATCGTCTAATTTATTATTTTTGTAAAATCCGTGCACTCGTAGGTTATGATTAAGAGTGTTGCATATCTGACCACATATCGGCCCTGACCAATTAAGCGCCCCCACCCAGTGCAGAATTTTTGCACGGTCTGTCATGTTCTTGAAATGTTTACAAATCTGACTTTTTCACATACATGGTATTCTTAATCTCTCCTACATCCACTTATAAGGTAAAGCATCTTCCTATGTTTAAAGTAGTTTGTGCTTTACTTTTCTCCAGGAATATTTTTGTATGCCTATTTGTGCATGACGTAAAAACATTTTCAGCGTAATTTTCTATACTTGCATAGTCAACATTTTTCCACGGTAAAACCTCAGATAGTCGGATTTTGCATTTAGCTGGAATAGGTGGTCAATGAAAAAAATAAACTAATAAAAATGTAAAGAAAATAATATAACTGAATCATTTACATTAAATATGCAGTGACATTATTTTCAACCTGCACGAGTCTATTTCAAACATACACTATATCACTAGGTCTCGTTGACTAGACTAAAATATATTTATAACATGGTCTATAAATTTTGATTTAAAGCTTTCGTGACTGCCGTAATTCATATTCTTAGCTCTTTCGGTAAAGTCACGTTGAAGGGAAGCAATAAAATAATAAAATATATATAAAACAATAAAAATTCTCACGACGTTTCGACCATAACACAAACGGTCGTCATCAGGTGTGAAAAAACCAACGGCAAGAAACATTTGAAAGAAGTGTCGGTTCGCATTAATTAATTTATTTTTAAACGGCGTATTTATTTATAAAAAATGTCAGCGCCACGCGCAGCGATTTGGCAGTTTATTTAGAAGGACTAGTCCATCTATGTTCTGAAAAGTGGGGGGAGATGAAAAATTAATGTATGCTGTCTGAAAGCCACCGTAAGCGTGAACAATCAATTAAGACCTGAAATGGTTTATCAAATCCTTCCAATGATTGCTAAGCCAGAATCCATCTTCTCGGTTGAAATTGTCTCTGTGCTTGTATATGTGGATAGCCTCATGAACGAATCTCTCATGGTAGCCAGATGGCTTACAAAGAACCTCTGTCTTGGAAAAGTCAATGTCATGTGAGCCTACTGAATTATAACAATGATCTGCCACGGCCGAGGTGTTGGTCCTACCGTGTTTAAGGTCTGCTTTGTGTTCACGAATGTGGTCCGAGACATGGCGTTTGGTTTCTCCAATGTAACTACTACCACAGAGGCAACTTAGTTTGTAGACACCAGGGTACTGTATGTTCGGAATCACATCTTTTACAGACGGAACCAGATCACGGATTTTATGTAATGTGTTGAAACGGACCTGGATCTTGTGCTTATTCAAGATTTTGGAGATCTTTTTTGTGATCCCCGCAATGTAGAGTAAAGTGATGGTTTTGAAAGGCTCCTCAAGAGGGTCCTTCTTCATGGTTTGAGTGATAGCTTTGCGGATTGTATAGTCGGAGTAACCATTAGCCTTAAGAGCTTGGTGTACGTGCTTGAGTTCACTGCATATGTGTTCCTGGTCAGATATGCATTGGGCTCTATGGTACAGTCTTGATGAGATAATTCTTCTGTGATGGATGGTGGTGGGAATCCGGTTTCAGATAAGCATCCGTATAGGTAGCTTTCCTGTAGACAGAGTGGCTCATTGAACCATCAGGTCTCTTTTTTATTAGGACATCCAAAAAAGGTAGCTTGCCATATTTTTCGACTTCCATGGTAAATCTGATGGCTGGGTGTATGGAATTGATGTGGTCGAAGAATTGGTCTAGAGCAGGCCGGCCATGTGGCCAGATGACAAACGTGTCATCCACGTACCTCTTCCATAAGGTTGGGCGCAGAGTGGCAGTCTGGATGGCGTCAGTCTCAAATTTCTCCATGAAAATGTTAGAGAAATTTGAGACTGACGCCATCCACACTGCGACTCTGCGCCCAACCTTATGGACGAGGTACGTGGATGACACTTTTGTCATCTGGCCACATGGCTGGCCTGCCCTAGACCAATTCTTCGACCGCATCAATTCCATACACCCAGCCATCAGATTTACCATGGAAGTCGAAAAAGATGGCAAGCTACCTTTTTTGGATGTCCTAATAAAAAAGAGACCTGATGGTTAAATGAGCCACTCTGTCTACAGGAAATCTACCCATACGGATGCTTATCTGAAACCGGATTCCCACCACCATCCATCACAGAAGAATTCTCTCATCAAGACTCTGTACCATAGAGCCCAATGCATATCCGACCAGGAACACATAGGCAGTGAACTCAAGCA